CATTTGCTCACAGGAAGGAGTGAATATCTTCAACAGCAGAAGCACAACTCAAGGGTTTTCTATCTGTGAGAAATCATGGGAAATGCAAATATGGGAAACAGCAAATCATAGAATCATAGAATGGCTTGGGTTGGAAAGGACCTCAAGGATCATCAAGCTCCAATTCCCCACCACATGCAGGGCCACCAACCTCCACCTTTCATACCAGACCAGGCTGCCCAGTGCCCCATCCAACCTGGCCTTCAACACCTCCAGGGATGGACGGGGCATCCACAGCCTCTCTGGGCAGCTCTTCCAGCACCTCACCGCTCTCTGTAAAGAATTTTCCCCTTATATCCAACCTCAATCTTCCCTCCTTCAAATCCTTTCCCCTTTCACAGAGCTGATTCCCCTCCTGTCTGTAGGCTCCCTTTAGGCACTGCAGGCTGCAATGAGGTCACCCCACAGCCTTCTCTTCTCCAGGCTGAACAAGCCCAGCTCCCTCAGCATGTCTTCATAGCGGAGGTGCTCCAGCCCTCTGACCATCAAAAGCAAGGCTTCAACACAACCCAAAACGTATGGGCAGAGCGCACCACAACAGCTAAATCCAGTTCTCCTTTCCCAGAAGGGAACCCTTTGGCTTTGCCACATGGTGGGGATTGCTGAGGCACTGTTACAGGTTGCCCAAGGAGGCTGTGGATGCCCCATCCCTGCAGGCATTCAAGGCCAGGCTGGATGTGGCTCTGGGCAGCCTGGTCTGCTGGTTGGTGACACTGCACACAGCAGGGGGTTGAAACCAGGTGATCATTGTGGTCCTTTGCAACCCAGGTTGATGGTTGGATGTGATCATCTTAACAGTTCCTTCCCCTGAATGAATGCACACTTCTCAGCTCTCCACCATGGAAAAACACGATGTCCAAACACCTCAGGTACCTCTAAGAAGGAACGAAGCCCACAAACAGCCTGCGTTTAATGAGACTCTGTTCACCCAGGAGCAGCCGTCATTCCTCCTGGAGCTCTTAGAGCCCTGCAGCCCTCGCCGTGCTCCTCCCCAGACCCCGTGTCCATGGGGTGAGGCTTCCCAAAATGCCTGACACAAACCAGAGCCCTGGCCCGACAATTATCAGAGAGCAAAAACTGGAACGAACGAGAAAAAAATAAATGACATATTTCATCCTCCCTCTTTTGTGGCTTTTATTTTCTTTTGTATTCGCTTTGGGAATAACATTCTTTCCATTGGGAAGAGTCTGATTTTCCATTAAATACAAAGCAGCTGCCATTTTGGAAACAAAACGTTGATTAAATGCAGATTTTTTTTATTTTTTTTTTTTTAATTTTGTCCCTCATGTATGAAGAGTTTGAACCACGCTCATCTCTGTTGATTTATCGGGGCAAAGCATCTGCCAATTACAGCAGCAGGAAGGCTTAAAAAGAGAGAGTGCACAGAACCGATTCATCTGTACTGTACACTGCTAGCAGTTGGGTTATAATTAAAAGGGGAAGGATCTCAAGGCTGGAAGACCAGCAGGCTGTGCTCAGCCTCATGCAGAGCCCATGCCTTGCTCCAACAGAACCTAGAGCTCAACAGATGCCCACTTACTGAGGTGCCCATTGAGGGCTCAGTGCGTTCTCCATGATGTTCAATTCTGCCTGCTGGAAATGGAACTTGGACGTGACTTCAGCCCCAGATGTTGAGCAGATTGAAAAAAAACAGAGCTCAAAAGATGAAAAAAACCCACTCTGTTTCCAATGCAATTCAGTAGGTTTCTGCTTCTGAACCGGGCAATCAGAGCTGATTACTGAGAAGTAGTGATCCACACAAGCAGCATGCGAAACTGCCGATGTTCTTACAATTTTCCAAGAGCTAAATGTTAATGAAATTTTTATTTCACGTAAGAACACAACTTCTGGTTGAGAAACAGAGAGGAGGAAGTTGGATATTAAGAACAATTTCTATTCAGAAAGTGGCGATGGATTGGAACAGGCTGCCCAGGGAGTGGTGGGGTCACTGAGCCTGGAGGCTTGGTTTAAGAACCATGGAGATGTGGCACTGAGGGACACGGTCAGTGGGCATGGTGGGATGGTTTGGGGTTGGACCTGGGGATCTGAGAGGTCTTTTACAACCTGAACGACTCTACAGTTCTATGAAAGCTGCAAAACTGAATGGCACCTTGTTTTTTTTTCATTAGCACATCCAGTTCTCCTTATTCATTCATGAAACACCACGAAGAAAGACCATGGTAACCATGAGAAAATCCATGAAGAGCCTCATCTTTCAATGTTTTGCTTCCTTTCTCTTGCTGTGTAGGCTGCACGGTGCCTGGAGAACACACAGCTCTGTGTTGGCACCCAATGACAGTCACCAAACTCCATCTGCAACTGCTTCCTTCCCACCATTCTGCTCCAGCACTTGACCGTGTATTGATGGTTGAACTTGATGATCTTAGAGGTCTTTCCCAAGTTTAAGGACTCAGTGATTCTGCTGCAGATATGACATTCATCAACATTCCCCTGCATGCTCGCAACGTCGAAGTCTTGCAAGACTTCAGGTTGCCAACGTATGAAGCCAGAGGAAAGCATATAATGGCAAAGTCTATTATTTCACTTAAATTTGAGTCCAAAGGGAAAAAAGAAACGTGCTTTAACATCTGACGGTGCTGCTGGAAGCTCTGTGCTGGGCTCTGGTGCAGGAAGCAGCGGGCGTGTTTGAATTCCTTATGCTGAGGATGGTTTTTTGACTGCCAAATTCCCCGTACCACACATCTGATTCTTTGTGCATGCAAAAGTAAGCATAAAATAGCTTTATAAATCTAAGTTTGTAAAATGAAATCAAAGCCAAACATGCCAAGGTGACTACACAAAGGGAAGCAAAACCTATGCAAGCGCGCACACCCTGGTTTAAAGGATTTATGGGACTGGGCATTTTAGCCTCAATTAATTTTCAGAGTGCTGAAAGCACACAAGAAACCATGTAATTACAAGATAACTTGGCTTACCCAAATCCTACTTAACTAGCACTCGTGGGTTAAGCAGAGGTCAGGCTTCCCCAGCCAACAAAGCTAACTCCACCATATTTGAACGTGTCAGTGCATCAGAAGTTCTCATTCCGACCCATTCCTTTTGGCCACTATTTGGGATCCTGGGGACACCTGAAAAGTGGCACACAGCCCCAGAGCATCAGGAACAGCCCAGACCCCACAGCCACACGAGCACTGCTACAGGCATGATCCCATCTTTGACCATGGCAAACTGTCCAACCTTGAGTGCAAACTGGATCGAGTAACCTCAAGAGAGAGGAGGATCTGCCCTGGAGAGCAGAGGAAACACCAAGACAGGATTTTACAGAGGCTGCTCACAGCCCTGTCCATGCCTGTGACCCAGGCTCACAATTTGGGGTGTTTTTCTATATCTACAACACGGAGAAACCTCTAGGATCAGCCACAACTGCTTCCCACCGGACGCTTTAAATGCAGCTACAATTGCTCCTTTGTGCTGCTATGTCGTACAATCAGATTTTTATTTTTCATTCTCTCAGACAGATTAGTGATTTATTTCCACCAATTAAAACAAACAACCAAGTGAACAAAAAATTAGAGGGGTTAAAAGCAAAATTAGAATGTGTTGCAGTTAAGAACAAAACCAAGAGCAGGCTAGCAAAGTCCCACCGTATAAAGGGATTACTCCATCCCTGACCCTTTCCAGGGGACCTCCAGGTATTACTTTTCATTGATTTACCTTAATGAAACTAATGCACCCCTCTCTGTAGGAAGCTGACTCCATAGCTGTCTAGGCACTGGATTCAATTAAAGAAATAAATACATCTGGCTTCTAAATTGTGCAAAGTCTCAAAAGCCAGAGGCAATGCTCCTTTTTGCTTCCATCCCTCTTGGGGTACACCCCAGGCCCCTGCACAGGATGGGCTGAGCACAAGGGGATACTCAGATCTCCCCCTGCAAATCGGTGGCTGTTGGGGGACTGCCACCAAGTGTGACACATCCCTGCCCGCAGGGCCAGGATTGCTGTAGGATGGCTCCTTCTTTCCAGAAGCTGGCATTGATGTCAGGCCTTGCTGTTGACTCTGAAACCCTGGAGTGTCCACACAAGGTCTCAGGGCTCAGCTAGGCTCAGTTTCCAGGCAAAGGGGTGCATGCACCCAACAGCACCGCGCGATGCCGATCTGGCCAGGCAGCCCCATGGGCAGCATGAACACAGAGCAGGGCTACAGGCATAGAAGCAGAAGCTCAGAGCAGGGCAGAGGCACACGACGGCGTCGAGAAGCACGAGGTGTGCTTGGTTTCGCACACGGCTTGGCTGCAGACATCAGAATAGAAGCAAGAAAGCAACTCGTGAGCAATTTGGGATCTATCTGCTGAAATGCCTTCGCTTTTCTCCCAACACACGCAACAAGCAGAAATGACAACACTTAGAGGCATGCATTGAACCAGAAGGAAGGTCCTGAAAGTCTGCTTTGCTAATTGCCCTCGTCCCAGCTGGGAGACAGCAAACACCAAGAGACCACGCTACCCTCTACTGACAGGCTTAGCACTAAGGCCAGGAGGGAGAGCCCCGCTGGGAATGCAGCCTGAGAAGGATGTGTGCTGATCAGACCACAGGGAGAACACAGGGATATATGCAAAGGTCTTCTTTCTTTCAGGTTGAGGTTGAAAATCTCACCCTGTTTTCCCAAATAACAGGTGTTGCCTCTAATGTTTAGGGATACATGGGGCATAACAGAAGGCAGTTAAATGCACTGCGCTCTAAGAGCAACAATTTGGCAATGCTGCTGCAACAGCACGTGTTCCTGCAAGGAAACCCTCTCCTATTGATTCCACAGATTGATCTCAAGCTGAGAGAAAATCCATGCCTGTGCCGGCAGCAGCGGAAGGGATAGGCTTCCACCCAAAGTTAGTTAATATTTTCCTTTCCTCTCTTTCAAGAGCAATGACCTTTCCTGGTTCAAGTCACCCTCTAGCACTGGAGGTGCGAGCAGAGCACAGCACGAGGCGCAGCCGTGTACTCACCGACATGGTAGAGTGGGCATCTACATCCCCCTACAGAGGACAACACAGGGAGTTTGAGTCAAGAGCAGAAGAGAGCAAAGCAACAGCAAGCAAGGCAAGAGAGGTACACATCAGTTATCACGTGTGGGTGCTACAACCCATCGCTGCTCCTCCCCAACTGAGGCACGGGCTGCGGGATGCTGAGGCTGCTCGGTGAATGAGAAGAGCAAAATATAGCACTAAGGAGGAAGAGGAACAGATGAGCCGCGTCCCACCAGACGCTGTTGGCCTTGATATTGAACGTGCTGAGCCACCTGGGGCAAGACAACAGCCACGTGCCTCAGCTTTCCCACCTACAAAATGGATGGGATGGATGTCCGACCCCAGCAGGAGGCAGCAGGGATTTGCCCAGAGACATCTACAAAACTCACCCACCTCTTGCAAGGGCAAGGAGATGTTATCTATGCCCAGAGAGGATTTGTGTAAATCTAAGGAACTTGGTTTCGGGACTCATATGATGGTTTCATGATGGTTACTGGGTAAAATAAATGGCCGTCACAGAACCCAATGGCTTGGATTGGAAGGGACCTCAAGGATCACCAAGCTCCATCCTTCCTGGAATGGATGCCCAGGGAGGTGGTGGAGTCACTGACCCTGGGGGTGTTCAAGGAAAGGCTGGATGTTGTGTTGAGGGACATGGTTTAGTAGGAGCTATTGGGAATAGGTGAATGGTTGGACTGGATGATCTTTTAGGTCTTTTCCAACCTTGGTGATTCTATGATTCTATGATTCCTGCTGCAGACAGGGCCACCAACATCCATATCTGATAGTAGAACATCCCTGCCAACCTGGTCAAGACTGTGGCTGGGACAAAGCTCAGTCCTGTGGTGCGTTTATCTCCACGCACAACACATTGCCTTCTAACATTATTATGGAGAGACTCGACTTCTGAAGGCAAAACACAGGTAACCATTCTCTTTTAAAAAGAAAATAAACACTTGGAAAGCTCTTTCTACCCAAGAGCTGCTGGGGCCAGCATTACGTATTTCCAACTGGGAAGAGATGCCAATCTGGTGAATAAGGCAAAATGTTCCATGCGGAGCGTCCGCGGCGTCTGTGCAGTTCCAGCTGAAATCTGTGCCTGCCATCTGGCAAAAATAAGCACAAAGGGGGGCAGGAGAGGGGGGGGGGGGGGGAGGAGGAGGAGAAATCCCTCCACTGAACTGAACTGCCCGGGATGGCGGAGGTCGGAGTTTGTTCGATCGCTGAAAGATTGCTTCCCCTTCCTGGGTCACCGTCACCTCTTGACCTGCCCTGATTACCTTCCAAAGGAGGTTATCAAGATACAAGACTAACAGAGGATTAAAGGAAACTTAAAATAAAAACAAAACACACCCCTTCCCCCCCAACTCTGCTCCCCTCCCCCAGGAAAACATCCTTGCTTTGTTAACCTGACAGTTCACTGTAGGTGTTGACACAACCCTCCATCTCTGAAAAGCTTAATGTCAACAAATCAGTGTGTTTGGAGTAGCCCTGTCAATGCGATTTACATTAACTTGTCTAACAAGAAATAAAAACAACAATCAGCCATCAAAGACAAAAGGCTTTTTCAGTCATTCTTTTAAAAGTATGATGCTGGAAATGTTAATTCTGGAGGCCATGGCCTTTTTCCCTGCTAAAAAACAGCAAACCTTTTTCTTTTTTTTTTTCTTTTTTTTTTTTCCCTTCTTTTTATTTTTTTAAAGGGAAAAAAAAAAAAAAAAAAGAAAAAAAAGAAGAAAGAAGTATTTTCTTTTAAAGGAGGCCCGAGCATCCCATATTAATAAGCAGAGCAGCAGCAGTAACCAACCCTCACTGGTTAACACAGGAAGAGGGCAGCCTGGAAGCCAAATGTTAATTATGCTTTTATTTCCACCAGCATGTTATTTGCTTTGAGACATTTTGGGCACTTAGCGGAGCATTTTCGAATTGTGGCTATAAACCACCATGAAAATTTCATGCAGCACTGGTATGCACCAAAGCCCCGTTAACTTCACCATGAACTTTTCACCCCCAAAGCATTTTGCATCCCCACGCTCACCATCCCAAAGCAGAACTGCAAAAAGCAGAGGCTCTGGGGGCTCCCAACACCCAAGAGAAAGCATCTTCCATCAGCTTTAGGAGTAGCAACCAGCATTGGCTTGGGTAGCAGTAGGAGCTGTGATGCTCGGAAGGAAAAATTAGGAACTGCAATCTCTGCTTAAACACTTGGAATTGCAATTCTTGATTGAGCACTTGGAACTGCTCAATCTCCACTTCAATGCTTGGAGTTGCAATCCCCACTTGACCACCTGGAGTTGCAATTCCTGCTTCAATTTGGTATTGCAATTCTTGACTGAACGTTCGGAATTGCAATCCCTACTTCAACACTTGGGAGGTGCAATTCTTGATTAACGCTTAAAATTGCAATCCCTACTTGACCACCCAGAGTTGTAATTCTTCATTGAACATTTGGAATTGCAATTCCTCCTTCAACATTTGGAATTGCAATTCTTGACTCAACATTTGGAATTGCAATCCCTTCTTCAATACTTGGGATTTACAGTTCTTGACTGAATACTTTGGAACTGCAATCCCTGCTTGACCACCTAGAGTTGCAATCCCCACTTGACCACTTGGAATTGCACTTCCTGCTTCAACACTTGGAGCTGCAATCCCTACCTCAACACTTGGAATCGTAATCCCTACTTCAACACTTCGAATTGCAATCCCTACTTGACCACCTGGAGCTGCAATTCTAGACTGACCACTTGGAACTGCAATCCCCATTTGACTACTTGGAATTGCAATCCCTACTTCAACACTTGGAATTGCAATCTCTACTTGAGGAGCAGGGTCTCTGTGCCATCCCACCAGCCAGGATCAACTTTATCAGCGGCATCAATTCTTCCCCAAGAAATTCAGCCTTGCTCCATGCCCAAACAGGAGCGCAGAGCCAAAGCTGGGACGGAGCTGCCCTTTCACTCCTCTCCTCTCCCTGTAGCACTCTGTGACCCCCAAGGCCATCCCCTCTGCCCGCTGTGCTCCAAGCCTTGACCCCAGCGAGGTTTCCTGCCCACGAGCAGCCCCGTGCAGCACAATGGAATTACTCACACACAGCACATGAAGCAACCGTCTGCATTTTTGCAGGATCAGGGCTTTCGGTTCCGTTCTATTACAGGACAGCTCTTTTTGTTGCTGTGATTTTAGCACCGTAACCGCCTGCGTGCCCAGGCTGAGTTTCTTTGATCAGCAGATGAGGTTTTTTTTGCTGTAATTGCTGTCGTGACAAAGGGCCGCCGAGCAGCTCGTCTCCTGCTCCTTACTCATCCCTCTGCCTGCCACTCTTCTCCTGCTAAAAACCAACTGCAAGTGCAAACAGCCACAGAGAGCTCCTCACACATGCTCACCGTGTAAACCTGATGGGCACAAAGCTCTGCAGGAAGGGGTGCTGCCAAAGCAGTGAGGACATGGGAACAGGAGGGTGGGTGCAGAGCTGGGGCTACACATAGGAACCACAGGATGCCTTACTTTCCCTTTCCTTGTGGCTATTGGTGTGAGGTCAACCAACATTTGCAAACTCGTTTACAGCAGGGCAACATCTCCTGTGTGATAACCCTGTGTATTTGGGGCTGGAGACAGACCAGCAGCATGGAAAAGGCTTCACCTTGCTGCTTGCAGCCCCACAATACTCAGTGCCAATTCATGCTTTTGGGAGATGCTTCCTTTCCTTCTCGAGGCCCTCTCACCCTTTCCTTTCACAAAGGAAGCACATCCCATCCTGTCACAAACATGGCCTTCGTTTCTCTGCGCCGCTTTGGGCAGATGGGGGCTTTCCCACGCCTCACCTCCTACAAATCATTCAGAAAGTCACCGAAATTATTAAGTGTTTCTAAATCAGTGGCTGGGAAGAGGTCCTTGAAAAGCAATCAGCTGAGCCATCAAAGGAGCTGGTGCTCTTCCGACAGCCTTCAGCTCTTCCTGACTCATCCTCACTGGTGATGCTTGCAGGGAACTGACAGCAGCAGGCAAAGAATTGGTCTCCACAACACTCCTCTGAAGGAAGGAACTCCAACACATAAAAGAATCACGGAATCACAGAATTGCTTGGGTTGAAAGGGACCTCAAGGATCAGCTCCAATCCCAACTGTGGGCAGCAATACCTCTCTCTCCTATCCACCATTTAACTCAGGCCTCCCAATTTCACAATCTGCAGCTCTGTGTCACTTTACTGCCCTATCCAAGGGGATGGTGGGAGGCTCAGTGCTGGGCAATGCTTTGAAGGCAGCAGCTCAGCATCTCCGACACATTACCCAGCTCCTGCAGCATGGCAAGCATCCACCAGCTGCCTCCTGAACAGTCCTTCCAGACCAACCAGCTGCCTTCCCCATCTCCAAAACCATTCTGATTAATTCAAAAAGGAAACATTAATATTTAAGGAAGATAAATCACTCCAGGTCCGTCTCATAAATCATCGTGGACATCTCTCCCCATCCTCCTCTCTCCTGGTGGCCGCGCTTCACACTCCAGCGCAGAGCAGACCCCCCTCGCTCTGTGCAGGAGGAACAAAGGGGATTTCTGCCCTTGATGGAGGGAAAGACAGAGCAAGAGACAGCAAATGTGTGGTGAGCAGCAAGGTATGCTGCAATGCCTTCTGAGAACTGCAGTGTTAAGTAATCCAGAAGCTGGACTCAATGATCCTTACGGTCCTTGGGGTATTCCCTACACAAACACACCCATCTCTTTGAGGTACAAGAATGTCAAAAACATCAATAAGAGTCCAAAGTGAAGCAGAGAAGAGGGCTGAGCATATCTTCGTTTCTGGTACTCCTTCCCTACCCACTGCAATAGCAGGAAAACCCCTGCTGCATGAGCTCAATGAGTCGTGTAAGGACTCCCAGGGTCACCAAATGGGTCAGGTTGGAAGGGGCCTTCTTTAAACCCATCCAGTCCCAATCCTTGCCCTGGACAAGGCCACTGTGCCCCAACACCGCTGCCCAAAGCTCCTTTCACTTTCATTTGTTGAACTTGATGATCTTAGAGGTCTTTTCCAACTCTAATGATTCTATGATTTCTCTTTTGGTGGCCAAAGACATAGAATCATCATAGAATGGTTTGAGTTGGAAAGGACCACTAAAAACCATCTGGTTCAACTCCCAGCAATGGGCAGAGACACCCACAGCTCCATCAGGTGCTCAGAGCCCCATCCAGCATGAACCATGCAGAAGCTTGTAAAGTATTGCTGAACTGTTGAGGCTGTAACACCTCCTAAAGCAGTTCTGGAGTGCTGGAACATCCTTTCCAGCAGTGCAATCCCTGGACACAAGCAGAATGAAATTCAGGAAGCTGTCACTGTGCATTATTAACCTTCTCTTCCTGCTTCTATCCAAGCTAGTGAGAAGTGTCCACAGTGTGGGCCAGTATTCTACAATCCTGGACACGCAGCATCAACAAATAGGTAGCAGTGCAGTGAAGAAGAAAAATCTGAAGTTGCTTTTGGGACAAACACAGAGTTCAGTGTATTTGCTGTTTCTAAATACCTGCTGATTGAAGAGACTCATAAGTACATATCCAGACAGCCCAGAACAAATCTTGTTTAAAAGAAAGAAATAAAAAGCTGTCTGAGCAAAAATGAAACTCCCTGATGATTACATTGTTCCTATTCAAGTGGACACTGCTCAGCCAACTGCAAAAAAACAACATGAAAGACATTTCTGATCGCAACAGCAGCATAAACACAGGCATATTTTGGACAGCAGAGAAAGGAAAGAAACACATGCTGCCTTACAACGCAGAGCCATATTTTGATGTAAGGCACCCAGTGACCTGACAAACATTTGGAAATGGATCTGCAGTTTGAATAATACAGGCCCTCATACTGAGATCTCTCAAAAATCATTCTCAAATGTCTGTTAAGATGAAGGCTAACATGGTATAGGTGGCCAGTGAGTTATGATCTTGCTTCTGCTGGTGGACTGGGATATCTCCCTCTTTCCCATAGACATGCAAATTCTTGGGGGGACTCTCACTTCTGCTAACACGTGCAATAGCTTACTTTAGAAAGAGATTTACTTCACAACACTTGATCTGCTGTCAAACAGGGCCAGTGTATGGCCCCATTTCCATCACACTCTATAAAAGCTCGAGCAACCACTCGTTTCAACAGCACCATCAGCTGCCTGTGCACTTTCCAGCCTGAAAAAGAAAGAAAATGGGGAGGCCCCTTACCGGGAGGTGCGTGAACACAGCAAACGTGCTGCGCAGGAAGCCAATGAGATCCACAAGGTAATCACTGGCCCTGCTGCCAGGCTCCAGAGCCATCCAGTCGTAGTCTGCCAGCTGCAGGAACTGGTCAATCTTCTGGTTCAGGTTAGTGTAAATCTCTTCCTCAGCAGCGTGGCGGGCGTCCTGTCCAACGAGACCACGTTATATGGGATGGAGGGTCGACAGCACAAGGTGCTCCATAAGGAACAGGATGCTAGATGGACCAAAACTTTGGCCCTAACAGCACAAGGCAATGTGTCTGCAAGCTACCATAGGGTTGCAATAAGCTCAGGTTAGCTCATCCTGGCAGGTCAGCTCCAGGTATGATCAAACTAGTGTCTGACTGCTGAAACCCAGGGAGAAGGAGGACAAATACGGCATGGGATGGGAGGAGGAGACAGGGGAGAACGTTCCATGTGGAAAAAGGCTGAGTGTGTCACTCAGAGGTGGTGACACATTGGAACAGGTTGCCCAAGGAGGTTGTGGATGCCCCATCCCTGCAGGCATTCAAGGCCAGGCTGGATGTGGCTCTGGGCAGCCTGGGCTGCTGGTTGGTGACCCTGCACACAGCAGGGGGTTGGAACTGGATGATCATTGTGGTCCTTTTCAACCCAGGCCATTCTACAATTCTATGAGATCCACCAAGGTTTGGGTGTAGTAGGGCTACAAACTGGCAGAGGGGCTCAGAGCCTTCCTGACAGGGCAAGGATGAAAAAACTCATCCTTAGGCCAAATGGGAAGATGGTGTCTGATGGGAAAAGGAAGGGATTTCCTTGGGGTCACAGGGCCTGCTGGGTTATCCCAAGGGAAACCTCATCTAGCCAATTCCCTATCATTGCTGGAGTCCCTGGCACTGCTCCCTTCCACTCTGTGGCCAAAGGGCAGAACTCAGACAACCCCCAACTGAACCAGCCGTGGTCTTAAAACTTCATGGGAAGAATGTGGGGAGGATGCTCCTGGGTTACAATTTAAAGATTGGGAAACCCAGTACTTCCTTCCAGCCCTGATTTTTGGCATTTCCACTCTCCTTTTAGCATTTAACAACACTAAAAGGAACAGAAAGGTACAGAAATTAAAGTTCTCAAAATCTATTCTCCTCTTGAGTGAAAGAAGAGAGCTTGCATTCATTGCCAGCCACATGCAGCTCTGTATGGTGATCAAACAGCAAAATGAAAGTTCATTGAAGAAAAAACTGAAGTCAGGCTTTTGTTGAAAAGCTGCTTAATTCCTTAGATAATGAGCACCGCAGTCACAGCCTGTAAATTAGAGCTACAAAGGCTCTTGGTCTGGACAAGAGTAGTGCATACAGCTGCTCTGAAACGAACGCCAGAAGCTCATCTGATGGCTTCAGCTCCCAGGCCATGATAAAATCACCCTTCAACCCAAACATGGACAGAGCTCCCCAGAGATGCCACTTACCTTGAAAGTCGTGGTCCCGTAAAGTTTTGTGGTGTGAACAGTTTCTGGAAGTACATTGGTGATGTTGGTTATGAATTCTTCGAGGAACTTGCAAGATTTCTCCAAGTGGGTCGTGTTTATAATAATCTGTACCAGCTGCAAAAGCAAAGAGCAGGTATTCAGAAAAGATATTCAGGAAAGGTATTCAGAAAAGGTATTCCTCACACAGAGCGTGGTGAGGCACTGTTACAGGTTGCCCAAGGAGGCTGTGGATGCCCCAGCCCTGCAGGCATTCAAGGCCAGGCTGGATGTGGCTCTGGGCAGCCTGGTCTGCTGCTTCATGACCCTGCACATAGCAGGGGGTTGGAAGGAGATGATCATTGTGGTCCTTTGCAACCCAGGCCAATGTATGATTCAGAAGAGGTATTCAGAAAGTTGCTCCTGAAGCCAGGGAGGTGCTGAGTTGATGGGTGCCACTTTCTGAGAACTTCTAGCAGGAAATGCTGATGCTGTACAAACACACTGAGCTTCACCCCACACTCAAAGGCTCTTCTCCTTTAACAGCAGCAGAGAGTTATATAAAAGGACATTTTTTTGGAAGAAACAACAACAACAACAAAAAAGAAAGCATTTCCCATGACAGCCACTAATACCACTGAAGATTTTTTTTTCTAATGACTTTCCTATGCTCAGCTGTCAGTCAGCACTCATTCCAGCAACAGGCTTACAAAGAAGCACCATGTCAGACCACGGGTATTCTGGCTGCTAATGAACCCTAACGAACCTGCAACTTGAGTGACACGTAACAGCAGCCCTCTGAGGCACCCGACAAAGGAAGCAAGGGCTCTGCTTCTCCAGGGGAGGTGTGGGTGAGCAGCTATCTCCCTGCTTTTCATACCCACCATTATCTGCTATTTTTCATCACGCTGCTTTCTCAGCTCCCTTTGCAACGGATCGGGACATTAAAGGCAATGACAAAGACTGCTGAAGTCAATCAGTGCCAATGTTTATAATCCAGAGCAAAGCAATCCCTGCTTCGCCTTCAGCATGGCTGCCTTGGAAGCCAAACACACCACTAATTCCTTAAGCAGGTACCTTTCTTCTGTGCAGACCGCCGTGAATATGTTCAAGGTGCAAGGTAAGCTGTAACAAAACCTTTCCAAACAACATTTAGCTCTGATATGGTGCCAAAATGCTTCTCCTGCAGACACAGAAGGCATTACAATGCTCCAGACTGACATCACTTAATTGCAGGAGCATGGTGTGGTAGTCTGCAGTTACCTCTTCTAAAGAAACTATTTAGAAACACAAATCATTTGCTTCTGAATGAGATGGAAACAAGCAGCGCCCTGCCAGGCACAGCATTGTTTCTTTTTCTCTTTTTGCTTCTTTGATCCTTTTATGTTTCAGCACCAACTGGAGCATTGCACACACATAAATATTGAAGTAAAGCTGCAGAGATGGCGGCGCCCAACTCGTGTTGGTGCCAGATCACAAATGCGCAGTGGCCACAGACTGGGAGGCTCAGTTTGGATGTTGGGAACAAAGAGAGATCTTACAAACTGCCCACAGAGGCTGTGGGACCTGTGCTTTGGGAACACGGAGTCAGGTAGAGAAAGCAAAGCTGAGGAGACCCAGATTGAGCAAGGAGGTCCCTTCCAGGCAATGCTTGCTTTTAAGAAATTGAATTGTGGTCTATTTGAACGCCTCCTGCTTTGCACTCGGCCCCCAGAAAGAAAAAACACAGCAACCAGGAGGGCTTCTCATCTCTGAATTTGCTGGATTTATCCAGTTCTCAATTTCTGCCTCCTGATAAGTGCTCATTTGTTTGCCTTTCCCTCTGTCAGCTTCTGTCACAACTCCGATGCAGTTCCCCACAGTTTCAAGCTAATTAAATACTGGGTATTTCCAACTGCCTGAAATTCCTCCTGAACTTCTCATCACAACGCGTTGGTCCAGACCTGTAGGCCTGAATGCAAAAGCTGCATCTAACTTCAGGTAGTTCTGACTTCACAGATAGGACAGTGGTCTTAGCATCCTTGGTAGCACAGGCCTCTGCACCCTGCTGGATCTTCATTGAGTCACAGAATGGCTGGGGGTTGGAAGGGACCTCCAGAATCATCAAGCTCCAAAGCCCTGCTACATGCAGGGCCACCAACCTCCATATCTCATACTAGACTTCCTTCTTGCCCCTCCCAACTGATCAATTATGAAAATAAATTAAAGAGGACAACGGACCAAAAGGTTGGAACATGGAATGAATATCACCTTCTCCACTGTTTGGAAGAAGATATTTTAGATTAGAAACAGAGAGCATTGCTTTGAGTTAAAATTCAGCCCAAGAAGGGTGGATGGTGATAGGACAAAGGGGAAATGGTTTTAAACTGAGACAGGGGAGGTTTAGGTTGGATATTAGGAGGAAGTTTTTCACTCAGAGGGTGGTGAGGCACTGGCACAGGTTGCCCAAGGAGGCTGTGGATGCCCCATCCCTGCAGGCATTCGAGGCCAGGCTGGATGTGGCTCTGGGCAGCCTGGGCTGCTGGTTGGTGACCTGCACACAGCAGGGGGTTGGAACTGGATGAGCACTGTGCTCCTTTGCAACCCAGGCCATTCTGTGTTTCTGTGTAATCCTTCCCTCTTCAGAAATGCAAACTGTAGATGTGACTGCATGGAGCATGGGATTGGAGGGCACCTGGAGGAGTCCCATGTCACATGAAAGCACTGTCTTGATGTCAAAAGTGACTGCAAAAGATATTTAAGTATCTTGCATAACTATCATTTCATAGAATCATAGAATGGCCTGGGTCGAAAAGGACCACAATGATCATCTGCTGTGTCAGGGTCATGAAGCAGCAGACCAGGCTGCCCAGAGCCACATCCAGCCTGGCCTTGAATGCCTGCAGGGATGGGGCATCCACAACCTCCCTGTGCAACCTGTTCCAGATTTAAGAAGCTCAGAGGAAAACTGGACCAATAGGTCAATGGTTATGCAAAGGAAACAAGCAGGGGGGCAGGAAGATGCCCAAAATGAGCAGCCAAAAGATTGCTGCTGGAGGATGGAGAGTGCAAGGGATGGTGCTGCATTCCTCAGCATGGAGGGAGCCCCGGGAGGAGCAAGACAAAAGGGGAACTTGCCCCCAAGGAGCAGAGAGATTCCAGACTGCGAGATAAAGGTCTGAGGAAGCACTGTGTGTAAATGCAGACTGCTATAAATGCGCTGAACTCCCCCAAATTCATCCACATGGGGTATTTTTGAGTGTCCAGAGAACACTACACATTCCTACAATGCAGTTAATTAAAGAACTGCAGCTGTACTAATACCTGCTCGCTTCATAACAGCACACAGAGGCCCAACTAAGGCATTCTAACTGGTTTGGGTACCACACATGTTCCCAAAGAGTCGTGACTTACAAGCCTTGAACTTTTTGGAAATCTGACTTTGTTCACAGAAAAGTGTCAATCTTGAAAAGAAAACGCCAGTACAGAGTTCAGACCATATAAATGTGCCTTCAGATGGAGAGCAGCCCTCCATTCTCACCGCTCCCACGCGTCTCTTGTCTGGCATGAAGCCACCCCAGCACTCCTTGAAACCCTCCCACCTGCCCTCTTCAACCCAGATGTATAACTCCCCAAAAACCCAAAAGAAGGGCAGACAAAAGCATCACCTTTCCATAAGCATAAAGCCTTTCTTCCACTGGAACAGGTTGCCCAAGGAGGCTGTGGATGCCCCATCCCTGCAGGCATTTAAGGCCAGGCTGGATGTGGCTCTGGGCAGCCTGGGCTGCTGGTTGGTGACCTGCACACACAGCAGGGGGGTTGAAAATGGATGATGGTTGTGGTCCTTTGCAACCCAGACCATTCTATGATTCTATGATTCCTTGACTCTTGCTTTGTACAGCAACACTGCTTGCTTTTCTTGTTGTTTTCCAACCAAAAATTTTACAGTAACACTCCAACCCAGCATCCTTCAAGGTGCTGGAATGAGCTCCAAGTGACCATACCCCATTTTGATGCCCTGCCTTGGAAATTACTCCACATGCAATCTCACCTCTGTCAGCCCCACGTTTTTCCTCTTAATGACGTTCTGCAAGCAGTTGCTCAGCGTCCGGGTCAGCAGCAGGTTTGTAGATTTTCTGATCATATCATCAACTTCTGTGGAGCTGGAAAGCAGAATTTCAAGAGAGATTTGCAAAGTACTTTATCTCAAGGCAAATAATAATAATAATAATAAAACTGTAACAAAACCAACACACCCTTTCAACTCTTTGAAAGGGTAGATAACAGCAGGACAAGGGGAAATGGTTGGAAGTTGAGGGAGGGAAGATTTAGGTCAGATATCAGGGGGAAGTTCTGTGCTGTGAGAGCGGTGAGGTGCTGGAACAGCTGCCCAGAGAGGCTGTGGATGCCTCGTCCATCCCTGGAGGTGTTCAAGGCCAGGTTGGATGGGGCCCTGGGCAGCCTGGGCTGCTATGAAATGTGGAGGTTGAAGCCCTGTCTGCAGAAGGGGGATTGGAGCTTCATGATCCTTGAGGTCCCTTCCAACCCAAACCATTCTATGATTCTATGATATGTGGAGTCATCCTCACTCAGACTCCTTCTGTGGGTTACGCCTGATCACCTGCGTGCTGCCTAGAGCTGCTAACATGGAAATATGTATTGAAATACCAACAATTTTGGCCTTTTTTGTGCATGCAAAAAAGGCAAACGTGGACAAACCTACGTCCTTATGCTTCTCCTCTTAGAGGAGTCAACCCAGCACAGGCTAAGGCTCACCCACTCCATTCTCACCAATGCATTCAGCACTGTGCAAGAAAGCTGCAATTCTGCACATTCAGATCAAATCATCCAAAGACTCAAAAATTGCTTGGTTTTTTTTTAACTCAGTAAATCAGATTTTAACCCATCCGTGGCTTTTGCCAGATGACTACAACCTCAACCTTGCTCAAGCTGGAGGGGTTTGGCTTTCTGCTTTTGGCTGCAGGGCTGGCTGCCGTGCCCCTCCATCAGTGCACGCCAGCAAGGTGCAAGCTCTGTTTCTTGAAGCAAGGCCTGGAAGCCAGCCCCAGAGCAGGGGCCTTTGATCTGTTGTTGGCCCTGCATTAGCCCTGACACGACGAGGCTTTATCTCTGGCAGAGCAGTGACAGGAGGCTGATGGCAAAGAGAATTTCAAACTGCAAGGCTGAGAAACATTAATAACTTTCAGGCTCCTGGTAAATCAACCCCGTGACCTTTCGCTCCGTATCCTGTTTTACCTGACAAATGGGCCAGATTACAAAGCAGGGATGGACAGGGGAAACAAAAGCAAGCTTTGCATTGCCCGCAGGGCTGGTGCACGGTTCAGGCACTGCTATTGGGGTGCCCAAAGAGAGGGGGGGTCAGACATTGCCATCCTCTGCCCAGCACACACCTGGGAACTTCTCTGCTGTGTTAATGTCAGAACAGGCACACCAAGTTCACCCTGGGCACCTGATGTTGAACAAAGCAAGACCAAACGGTCTCCCAAACCTATCTCAGTCTTCCTGAGCATCAAGTATTGCACGTGCATCAGTACAGGTTGGGGGATGAGCTGCTGGGAAGGAGCTCTGCACAGAAGAATCTTGTTGACCAACAGTAGACTAACAGTTGACCAATGGTTGACCATGAGCCAGCAGGGCGTTCTGATGGCCAAGACCTGTGGAACCCTAGGGTGTATGGCACAGAGTGTGGCCAGCAAGGCAAGGCAGGTGCTCCTCCCCTCTGCTCTGCTCTGTGGAAGGGCAGATCTGGAGCACTGCACCCAGTGCTGGGCTGCCCAGTTCCAGGCAGACTGCAAACTGCTGGGAGAGCCTCACGGAGGGTGTGAAGCTGGTGGGAGCCTGGAGCACCTCCTGATGGGGACAGGCTGAGAAACCTGGGGCTGTGCACATGGAGGAGAGAACGCTGAGAAAGATCTGAGCACTGCTGATCAGTGTCTGAAGGGCAGGGGGCAGGAGGACAGGGCTGGGTTCCAATTGGTGGTGCCCAGTGCCAGGACAAGGGGCGCTGGGCACAAACTGGAGCCCATGGGGTTTCATCTGAACGTGAGGAAGAAATGTTTTCTTGACCTGGAGACTGACACAGCCCTGGCACAGCTGCCCAGAAAGGTGGGAGAGTCTCCTCTGGAGATATTCCAACCCACCTGGATGCTTTTCTGTGCAACCTGCTGCGGGGAACTGCTTTAGGGGGATCTCCAGAGGTCCCTTTCAATTCTGTGAGCAGCCTTCAAGAACCAGAATTGCACAGAAAGCCCTGAGGTCCCCAGGAGAAGCAGGGCTGTGCGTGTCACAGAGCTGAGCTGTTCTCCTGTCCCAGCCAGCTGAAATCCGTGTCTTGCTGCAGCTTTCCCAAGGAAGAGCCCAGCTGCACAACTCCCCATGCTCACCACACTGAGCTCACCAGCAGCTTTCTCTAATACTCCCTGCTGTTGAAAAGTCAGCTTTTCTGGGCTGTGCTCCTGCTGACCTCTACTCCCCTCCCAGCTGGATGCAAGGAGAACAGAACGAGCAGCTCAGCAGGATCCTGATAATCTAAATGCAATGCCACCAGCCAAAGTCTCAGTGCTGGTCTCTTCTGGGTCATTGCTATTGATCCTTGGGAGTTTCTTTTGCTCCTGCTGAGGGTGAATGCACCTCCCGTGCCATGTTGATCAGGGCCAGCCCATGTCATGTCTCAGATCCCTGGGCTCCTCCAGGCAGAGCTGGGATGTCAGCTCCAAGATGATACATTTGGGTTTCATAAGCATGGAATGGAACATGAAGGGAAGAAAACTGGCCACAGAGTTTTTCCTTGGCTTTACACTGTGGCAATGGCTCTGTAAGAAGGTTTTACTTAAAGAAAACCATAAAGAAAAAGCAAAATCCATGCACACACACGCAGCCCAGGCTTTCCATCATCCCCCAGAAAGGACCAGATTGTCCCCAGCCCATCCACCAGACAACAGCACAGTTAAATATAGAAAGAACAATAAAACCTAATGCTGCGATGGTCCACAGGTGGCAAAAAAAGTGACATGGTGACACAAGGGTACCTCGTGGCATGGGGGGAGTTGATTGCTGCTGCCAACAGAGTGTGGGAACCATGAGCTAGAGAGTCACGAGGGCTGGAGCCACGCTCAGAAAGGGCAAAAGTAAAGGTGGATGGAGCAAATGGTGGATGGAGAACTGCATCCAGGCCTGGGGCCCCCAGCACAGGAAGGACGTGGAGCTCTTGGAGAGGGTCCAGAGGAGGGCACTGAGATGAGCAGAGGGCTGGAGCAGCTCTGTTGTGAGGAAAGGTTGAGGGAACTGGGATTGTTTAGCTTGGAAGGCTTCAGGAAGACCTCATTTGGCCTTCTAATATTTGAAGGGAGCATACAAACAGGAGGGGGAATGGCTATTTTTACAAGGGTGGATAACGATAGGACAAGGGGGAATGGTTTTAAACTGAGACAGGGGAAGTTTTGGTTGGATATGAGGAGGAAATTTTTCACCCAGAGGGTGGTGAGGCACTGGCACAGGTTGCCCAAGGAGGCTGTGGATGCCCCATCCCTGCAGGCATTCAAGGCCAATTCTACTATGCCATCTTCCACGAGGTTTGCACACCACAAACACAAAGCAGGAATGTTCCTTGAAGTCTGATTCTGAGCAGGATGTGTGACCAGGAGCAGCAGTGCCACAAAGAAGCATCACTGAAGGTTCACCACGAGGACTGGGTGCTATCGTCCCTCGCTCAGCACCTTCAAGCTGACCCAACGCAGAGCAGAATCACACCCAAAAAAAGGGCTGATTCAGGTGTTCAAGGCTCTAATTTATTATTATTAATAATAACTTTATGACCTAAATTATGCGCAGCCCTATAAAGAATTGGATCCAAAGCGCTTCCAGGATCGCTGGGAACAAAACGATCCAAGTCCTGGTGCATCAGAGCTGCCATCTCCCACTTCTACCCACTGTTTTCCAAAGATATTCCCTATCTTTAGAATGGGAAACTCCATTGGAATGAGTGGGAGCCTTTCAGTGAATGGATGCTCTTAAAGACATCTCCTCAACGAGCTCACACACATGCCCCTTTTTTTTTCTTTTCCCCCCAAAGGGAGAAATGCTGAACATATAAAGGAGGTTTTCTTTCTCCTAATCAAATTAATAGAGCCAAACCAAAAGAATTTGCAAGCCCTGGAAATGCTCAGTAAGCTCCACATTTTCTTCAAATACTTTAAAAGCAAAACAACTTTCATAAGCATATCAACATAAAGGAGTCTACTCCCATCCAACAAATACAAGGAGCCAGTTTAAAATAATAATTAGAAAAAATACAAGCTACATTTCCTGCCACGGGCTCTGTTCTCCAGGAAAAGACTGCAGAGCGTTTAAGCAAACTGTCTGGGTTAGTGACAGCTGATGTCCCATATCCCATAGCAGTAGTCATGACCTTCAGGCCCCCCGTGACTGACGGGCTGACCCCAATCACTCCAGGGTGCAAGGTAAATGACAACCAAAGAAGAACAAGAAAGAGAAGAGAAAGAAAACTTGCTGCCGGCTTTGTAGCCAAGCTTCCTAATAAAACCTAATTCAAGCTGTCAGGGTGAAATGAAGAAAGTGTCAACAGGGGTTTTCAGAGAAATATTCCAAATGTTTGGCTAGAATGTCCAAGAGCTTGGCTCCCCTCCCCCAGCCCCAAACCACTCCTCAAAAAGGGCTGGAAAATCCAATGTTGAAAGGAATTTTAATAACTTGTCCGGGGGGACCCCGAGGAGGGGCCCCAGGGAACGCTTTTCTTCCATTCCCTGACAAACCCAATCATCTCTGTAATGGTGAAGAGCACAAAACTTGTGAGGGAAGTGCCAGCCGAGGGCTTCGGTGAAACCAGCATCCGTGTGAAATAGGACCATCCCGCCTGCCTTAGAAACAGAGCCATTTAGTGGTGACCTGCAGGTTAAGAGCCTTGGGAGCCACCAAAGAGAACAACCTGCCACCAGTGAATGGCTGAGGTTGAACCCGAGGAGGGGGAGCAACATCCTGTGCTTTGCACAACACGTCCTGGGAAAGACGGAGGGAGAGCGGCTCTCCAAATTACCACCCCTCTCACAAAGGCAAAGAACTGAAAGAACCCCTGAGTGGGCACCCTAACATCTGGTGAGACCACAAAACACTGCCTGAGGTTCACATTAACACAGGGGCCGCCCATGGCCATGACATGGAATTGCCCAGGGAGGTGAAACCCTGTGGACAGACCCAGATTTTACTGGTATGGCACTGAGAACACAAGAAATGTGTAATGAGGGCCAGGTTGGATGGGGCCTTGGGCAGCCTGGTCTAGCATTACATGTGGAGGTTGGCAGCCCTGTCTGCAGCAGGGGGTTGGAGCTTCATGATCCTTGAGGTCCCTCCCAATCCAAGCCATTCTATGATTCTATGAAGTCCTTCTGCCCTCCTGATGCTTCTAGCAAGGTAAAAGCTTTCACTGGGTGCAAAAAGAAAGCAATTTCTGGCTAACAGTTGTCTTCCACTTCAGCACACACACAAGGCCAGTATCTAGGAGCAGTGGGATGGAGGAAGGATGGTAAACACAAAACAGAGAATATTTGTACATATTCTCCAATGAGAAATACATATATATATGTAAATATACATATATAAATCCCTAAACCAGAAGCCAGAACTAACCACCACACAGGGCAAAATCAAACCTTGGGCTTTCTGGCCAACACACTCCTTGAAGGACAATGTAGGGAAGCTGCATTGCCATCACACACAAGGCACTAACCCATCCTTTTTTGGAAAGATTGGCTCCAACCATCTACCATGACTCAGAAATGTCTCAGAAGGATTGGCTCTCTCCCCTTTTACACACCTAGCATGGCACTGGGCTCTTTTTCCCTACATAAGAGAGATTTATGGAAGACTTGGCCAACCAATGCTGCAAGGGGCCCACCAGCCACCTGCATCCTGGGCAGAGTGTACCCAGGCAGTTGAGTGGCATGGAAGGCTGAGAACTCATCTTTTAATTACACTGAGATATTTCAATGCCAACAAAACTTCTTTTTTTGACTCGATGATCTCTCGAGGTCCCTTCCAACCCCCCATGACCAGGAACACAATCATCCCCTACCTCAAATGAAGGTCTTCTGAAAACTTCAGACAGGCGTAGATGAATTCCTTAATCTGATTGTAAACTTTAGGCACAAACTCAGAAAAGGGAAACTTCTTTGGAAACGGTTGCTGTAAAGAACAGGAGAGAATTGAAGTCAAAGAGCAGATCTTTTAGAGAGAGAACTGCTCTCACAGCCAGCCCAGAGTGACGACTGCTTTCCAGTAACATGTTCCAAGCAGCCAAATTAATACTAATATTAGCTGAGTCCAGCAATGAAACAACAAGCCAGCATTTATTGTATATTATATAAACATTTCAGCCAAGTGAAAGACCAGATAATCACTTACAAACGGCACACGGGCGCATAAGGGATTTGGAGTCTGAAATGGGCTGGAAGGAGACTTGTAGCTAGAAGGGAACAGGCAGCACAAAGCAATTCTTATTCCCTCTTTCCCAACTCCCTTATTCGTAACAAAAAAGCCTATCAGAAGATTCTTTGCCATTACTTCCCACCACACACAGGCATTTTGCTTGCTCACCTCCCCAGTTACCGAACAAGGTGAGCACTTGCTTACAACACAAAAGCCAAGAGGAAACAGATGTCCTCTCCCTCACAACCCACATTTTCACTACCTCGCTCTCACTCGTAGCACAGCTGTGGCTGGGAGGTGCAGAGCAGAGCAGTAAAAGCTGGACCCCATGATACAGTCTCAAGGAAGGCCACAGACTTTCTGAAATCTAAACACTTGACTTGGACCAAAAACCCTCCCAGCCATAATTAAGTTCACCAGGCTTGGAGCTCGCTGGCTGCCAGATGTGGAGCACAAGGCCAAGCATGCTTTTAAGGGACACTGCCTAGGTCAAATCTGGCTACACTGTTAGGCTCTGCATGCACGCACTTTTACAAAAGCCAAGATAGACCACTTCTTGTTTTTGGTTGGTTTTATGTCTTTTTTGTTAGACAGCATTAGATTAAAACAAGTTGAAGTCAGTAACGGTTCATACAATGGGAATAAAACACCAATGGAAGGAAGTGTTTTCATCTCTCTTCCATCTACTGCAAGTGATGCTGAACTGCAACAGCACACTGTGCTCTGAAAGCAAAATGGATGAGGTATTCCTCACCCACGCCAGGAGAAGTGCAACACATGGAAAATCTATTTGTCCTTTTCTCTTTTTGTTTCGAATTGCTGGGACCTTCTCAGTTCTACTTCTCAATGCCAGTAACAGAGGTGTGGGCTTTCAGTGCACTGGGAGTCACGCCGTGCCAGTTGCCTCATTTCACATTACCTTTTCAAGTTCTGCATCCTGGAATGGGAACTGTCCAACTATTTTCTTATAAATCTCTTCATTTGTCACTGGGATGGGACTGTAGTTATCTGAATCGAGTATATTTCTAGAAGAGAAGAAAGCAAGAAAGCTACAGCTGGGGGGGCTGCAAGGTCCCTTCCATGCTATGATTCTATGCTTCTATGATTTCAGGGGGAAGTTTTTTACCAAGAGAGTGGTGAGGTGCTGGAACAGGCTGCCCAGAGAGGTTGTGGATGCCCTGGCGGTGTTCAAGGCCAGGCTGGATGGGGCCCTGGGCAGCCTGGTCTAGTAATAGGTACAGAGTTTGGTGGCCCTGCATGCAGCAGGGGATTGAAGCTTGATAAATCCCTTGAATCTTTTCCAACCCCAGCCATGCTATGATCCTATGATTCAAGTAAGACTTTTATTTCTTGGCTAAAAGGACTTTGTAAGGCATGTCTCCTGGGTTTACTTAAAAAGCTTCTTACCTGAAAACTCCTGACCATTTCTTCAGCAGCGTTTCACTGTATTGGTCTTGGATCTCCAGCAGCATGTCGAAGAGCTGGTTCACTGGGAAGCCATATCCCTGCCACGAGTGGAGGAACAGAGCAACTGCATCAGCTAACAAGACATCGCTGAGCAGCATTTGTTGTGTTTGGGGAGCTTGCATGCAAACCCTCCCTGCAAACATGCCTGCTGGCAACAGACAACAGTCACCTACCTGGAGTGTATCTGCAAAGAGGACGATGAGGTTCTTCAAGTCCAACACCAGGCTTGGGTCTGAGCAATACGACTGCAAAGAAAGGAGCATTAAAACACGTTTTCAACCACAGCATGCAGGAGAATACTGCTCTCAGCCCTCCTGCCTTATCACTCCAGTGATAATACATAGGCACACTGTGCAGCCCCAGGATCAGCGGTGTTTATTGCATAGTCCATGCCTGAAAGGCTTGCAGGGCTCGGGAAGGCACGCTGATAAGGGTATCTCTCCTGGTAGTGCACAGCTCATGAGGCTCTCCGTGATGAACAAGGATTTCAGTTGCTCTCCAGATACCTGGAGTGTTTCTAAGATTACCCAGAAGCTGCTGGGGAAGTGAGAGGAGATGAAGCAAATCAGTGTGCTGCCGTGGCAAGGAGACAGCAGAGCCTCTCATGTAATATTTAGTGTGTTGTGTCTAATGGTAATGAAGCATTGCGGCGAGGCATCCCCGAGCCCTACGCCAAGGCTGCATTGCTAAGTGGAAGGTTCAGGCTGAGGAAAAACACACTGCGTGCCTTTCAGCAACCTGATGGTCAGAGCTACAGCAGATGTGTGTATTTACTGTGGGTCAGGATGCTGCCTGAGGCTCTGAAGACACTCCTGTACCCCACAGCAGCCCTGAGCATCGCCCAAGGGACACCCAGCATCACCCACATCAGTCCCACCCTATCTGCACACCAGCAGCAAACTTCAGCCCTGCTGAAATATGCAATGTTTCAGACAGGCTCTTACCAAATATAGAATCATATGCTGGAAAAAAGAGACTGAGATTTAAAGCTCACTGGAAACTCAAGGGGGAATGGCTCCATTAATCAATGAGAAAGACTGGAAGAGACACGTTTTCCATTTCACTCTCCAAAAAAGAAAGTCAGAAAGAAAGATAATGCCCTGAAGCTATCAGGAATGATAAAAGATGTCCCAGTCTACAGCAAGGGAAGAAAATCCAGGCGTTACATTTGGCCGAATGGGAAGAACTGAAACAGTCTCAACCTGTGCAGAAGCCTTCCAGCAAGTCTCACCAGCAACGCAGGATGGACAGCACTGCTCTGTAGAGATGACACAGTTGACCACAATAATAGCATTAAGAAATTGTGGCAAATTTTGTGATTACTGAAAAATAAACTCCTGACAGCCATTTCCTGCACTAGGTTAGAACCTACAACTGATGGCCATGGTGGTAAAGGTGAAAGCAGAGTGTGTGCACACGCCTGTCCATCGTGGTCAGCACACCAGCTGGAAACTCCACTCATAAAGAAAAGAATCAAGGAATCATAGAATGGCTTGGGTTGGAAGGGACCCCAAGGATCATCAAGCTCTAATCCCCGACCAATCTCCATATCTTCTACTAGACCACGCTGCCCAGGGCCCCATCCAACCTGGCCTTGAACACCTCCAAGGACAAGAAGTGCAGCTTTATAACACAAGGAGATGTACAACTCTCTGCCTAGTCCCTTTTTGGGGCATGGAAGGAGCACTGTACTGCTCAGGTACCACACACAGTGTTAGATGCATGCCCACAATAAGCACCCCATAGCATCCTCCTGCTGCTGGATGATGCTCCCTCCAGGAGCAGCAGTGGGATTCCAGTGATTCAGGCCCTACAATTTGAAAATGGACTTGGGGAAAGTCATTCAAGATTCTTCTTTTATTGTCAAATGTAGTTTATTTCATCCCATAAACCAACAGGGTGGCTCTTCAGCAAGCTATGAAACATCAAGACAACTCAAGTGCTCCCAGCTGAAACAGTGCATTATTATATCAGGTCATGCATTCTTTCCCCAGTTTTCCAGGACAACCCGACTCCCTCTGCTGGTGCTTTTCAAAAGTGATGAACCAAGCAAAGGAAAACACTGCAGTGCTATATTCTCCTTTCCAGCCTCCCCAGGTATTGCAAGTTTGGAGCAGGGAAATACAGTGCAATGTGAACCAAACAAGCCATAGAGTTCTCCTGGAGGAATAGCAGTGTGTTCCCTCTGTTGCTTCAAAAAGAGTGAAGTCAAAACAGAGTAGTACTGTGAAAGCCAACATTTCCAGCACGTCAAACCCAACTCAAGCAACAGCTGAGCAATCTGGGGCTTTTACTTACTGAGTGTGTCCTCAGTGCTGCAATGGTCTTTGATAACGCCATCTCCCACAGCTCATCAATATAGGCTCTATTTACCAAGCCCTGTGTTGTATGCAAGATGTGATCTTCGACTACAAAAAACCTGATGGGGAGGAGAAAATGGCACTGTTATCAGAAGTCACAGGCATCAAAAGAGATCTGCAAACACTGCGTGCAAGGGACATGCACTGCATGTGCACAGATCTCCACAGCGAGCCCAGATCTGCAGCATCCATCCCAACTACTGCTAAGAACAGATCTTTTCTTCACTTATTGTTTAATGTTGTAGTATTTTCTACGATGCCACACTGCATGATAGCAGTGAGCCAAAAGGCAGCTGTTCCCACTAACACCTCTGTGCACACACAAAGGCAGAGCTTTCCCACTCTGTTATTTGAACAAGAACTGCTGACTGAACTCTGCTTCAGCCAGCAGCAATCGCCTTACAATGGGTTAACTGCAGGGAGAACACTTTAACTGCAGGGAGAACACTCCGGTGCTCTCTACCCCATGCTCTCAGCACCATTTGGAGGCAATCAGTTCACTCCAGTCCTCATTTATCAAACGCATTGGTCCAAAAGCAGCAGCACAATTCAGGGAGCAAGTGTCCCAAAACACAATTTTAAACAGGAACGAGCAAAACCTCTGTTATATTTTGTAGGGAAAATCCAGCCTGGAAGCCTGAAGCTGTGTTAGGTCAGCAGCACACACTGCACTCTCCTCCTTCAGCAAGAAAACAATCAAATAATTGTCAAATATTAAAGAATCATTAAGGCAGAGGAACTATTTGCCTCATTAGCAGGGCAGGCAGGTGGTGCTCCCAGAGGTGGCAGGTTCTTACGGCTGAGCACAGCAAAGTTCACCAAGTTTTGTCTCCTTTTGAAGGACAGACACAAAATAAGAACAATATTCCCTCCTCTCTCTTCCCTTCTGGGCTCCTCACAAATGCAGCACGCACACATTTAGCACCCATATAAAAAGAACACCTACCCTACAATTTGATTGAAGTACCTCCTGTAGCCGTCCAAAGTTTCATGCTGTGACAAAGGAGAAGCGAGCAGAGGTTGAAATAAAGGAGAGCAAAATGGGAAAAAGAAAAGAGCATCCACAAGGCTGGGCTGCTCCATCAGGAGGAACCCCAAGCACTGACCAGGGCATGGCCATACCATGTTGGAAGGAGGCTGCAGCACCAGCCGGGCTTGTTTTCTTCTCTGTTTCCTATAGTAGTTCTCAAAGGTTTCTCGGGCACCCTGGAAAGCAGAGAGGATGAAGTCAAGTAAGCAGGCTTTGAGTTAATCATTTAATTGCACTTACAACACACTGCATCAATGACACAAAGCACGCTTGCTTCCAGCATTCAAGGCCAGGCTGAATGTGGCTCTGGGCAGCCTGGGCTGCTGGTTGGTGACCCTGCACATAGCAAAGGGGTTGAAAGCAGATGATCATTGTGGTCCTTCCCAACCCAGGCTGCTCTGTGATACTATGACTCCATGATACCTGCACAACTCAATCCAAGTGCCTAACGAAGATTGATTTTATTCCAAACACTAAGAGGAACAAACCCAAATACACGTCCAAGTGTACTTGAGTTGGACTAGATGACCTTTCAGAGTTTCCAACTGAAACAATTCTAATAGGACAAGGGGAAATGGTTGGAAGTTGAGGGAGGGAAGATTTAGGTCGGATATCAGGGGGAAGTTCTGTGCTATGAGAGCGGTGAGGTGCTGGAACAGCTGCCCAGAGAGGCTGTGATGCCCCGTCCATCCTAGAAGGTGTTCAAGGCCAGGTTGGATGGAGCCCTGGGCAGCCTGGGCTGCTGTGAAATGTGGAGGTTGGTGACCCTGCATGTGGCAGGGGGTTGGAGCTTCATGATCCTTGAGGTCCCTTCCAACCCTGGCCATTCTGTGACTCTGTGATTCTGTGATCCTCTGACTCTTCTGTGCCCATTTCCCAATATCCTTGGGCAGATGTGGCACACGGTGCTGTGCAACCCTCCCCTTTACCAAACCCTAAGATGGACAAACATCCGATCTACCTAAGGATGGGGACAATGGAACAACCAGAATTTTAGTGCTGGTGAACATCAAGAGGGGACCAGCAATGCCAGAAGGAGCAGCAGAAATTCTTGCACTGATTCTCAGTGATGCAAAGCCACAAACATCAGAGAGTTTAAGAAAAAGATGCTTGGGTGGTTAATACCTGTCAGCAGGAGAAAATAAATGAGTTTTTGAGCTCATTCTCTCTCATGGTGGCCATGCCTCACCCACCACCGGGGTCTGAGCCTCCAGATGAGAGCCAAATCCCAATATGCTCCCATAACACAAGCACGTGGGTTTCCCCTCCACGAGCATCACCCACTCACGCCAGGCACGGCACAGGGGTCAACGCTCTGGCGGTTGAGGCCGTGCATTTGCAGGGGTTTGGTTTTACCAAAAGCTACATCTGAGCATCCCACCCAGGCAGGGCAACGCAGCCACGTGGATCCTCAGATGCCACCCTACCTGCTGAGCCCTCCTGGTCCCCCGGGCTATGGAACACCTCGCTGGTTTTTCTCCCTGCCTGTTTCTCCCTCCCCCGCGCCCGTCCTGTTTTATGTCTGAAATCGGATTATAAACACTTCAGAGAAGGGACAAGGCCTTGCTTTGAACTGGTAGGAGACAAAATCTCATTTGGAATTCGCAAAACAAACAAGAGGCAACAACAAATATCACCTGCCTGAGGAAGGCACCAGACCCCAACCTCTTCTACCAAGACAACAAAGAAATACAAAAGAAAACTCGATGCTAATTTAATGATGCTGCAGCTACTCCATCGTTACACAGCCAGGCTGCCTCAAAATGCCTCAGCTAAAGGGGACCTGGGCAATTTCTGTTTCCTTCTTCTGTATGTCTCGCCATCTGCATTTCTTCTACAGGAGTTGGACTCCATGATCCTTATAGGCCCCTTCCAAGTCTATTCTATGAATCTGTATCAGAGCTCGAGCCCCTAAGCTATGCTGCTGCTCTCAGTTTGGCAGTGCAATAGGAGAACCAGACTGTTCCATATTCCCACTCGACCACCGCTGGGATCAGATTTTAGGCATCCATTAAACTTTGCTTTGCCTCATTCCTCAAAACCTACACAAGTGGAAGAAGAACTCAATTATCTCCCAGCAGCACCGCCGGGATTTGGAGCGAAGCCGCTCACTAACTCAGCACAGCCTGCTACCAATGAGTGATGCAAACCTCCTAATTCAAGGCTTTCCCCCCCCTGCCTCATCCCTATTAAATTGCTGTTGGGCCCCACCGAAGGCAGGAGCCCCAGAGGACCAACCCCCGAGAGCGGCTTTACGCAACGTCCCATGGAAGTCAGCAGGTAATTAATTCCCCATTAGTGAATGCACAGAAGCTGCCATATCCCAAAGCCACACAGGACCTCGGGGACCTCATGGAAGTCTTGAAAGCAGTTCATCTCCCAAAGGCCGGTCTGAAACCAATCAGTTATTTTAAGACTAGATTTTGAACATTTCTAGGACTACGCCGCAGCAATGTGTGCCAGCTGAAATGGCCTACCCTCCAACTGAGCTCCTCCCTGCTCCCCTCACCCTCCTCACACACTTCCTCATGACTGTAAGGCCAAGGGGCGTCCTGTCATCCCGCTCCCTCTTGGGCTCTCCCTCCCATCGCCCTCTGTCCCATCCTCTACCTGCCCACTCCATCGCAGGGCTCCTCCATACGGACATTCTCCACGCAGCTGCCACCAGGCTGTGGGTACAACACGCATCCCTCTGGCCTTAAGCTGAAACCCCTGACCCCATCACTCAGCTCCATTGAGGACGTACCAGCAGGCTTGGTAAAAATTGCTCGTATTCCAGCTTTTGTGATAGCTTGAGGAGTCATAAAGGTTGGAAAAGACCACAAAGATCATCAAGTCCAACTGCTGACCCATCGCCACCATACCCACTAATCGTAGAACCATAGGATGGCTTGGGTTGGAAGGGACCTCAGGGATCATAGAATCATAGAAACATAGAATCACCAAGGTTGGAAAAGACCTAAAAGATCATCCAGTCCAACCGTTCACCTATTCCCAATAGCTCCCACTAAACCATGTCCCTCAACACAACATCCAGCCTTTCCTTGAACACCTCCAGGGTCGGTGACTCCACCACCTCCCTGGGCATCCATTCCAGTGCCTGACCACCCTTTCTGAAAAGTAATACTTCCTCATGTCCAGCCTGAATCTCCCCTGCTGTAGCTTGAAAAGATCATCAAGCTGCAATCCCCCCGCCACAGGCAGGGCCACCATTCTCAACATGTAATACTAGATCAGGCTGCCCTGGGTCCCCTCCAACCTGGTCTTAAACACCTCCAGCCTAATCATATCTGAAGAAGCACAGGAACCAATTTTATCATAATATTCTCTGATCATTAAGCTAATTTGGGTTGCATTTTAACTGAAAAAACTTTCCCTTTTCCTCCAGCAAGAGGGACATGAGGTGGGAGATGAGACATGAGATCCCATACAAAGGCCTTGCTATAAACCTGTCCCACACCTCAGAGGGTCCCTCCAGCCCCACACGGTGCCTGGAGGCTCTGGACATCAGGTCCTCCTGGTTCCAACCCAGCACACGGCTTTAACTTCAGCAGAGGAGAAGGAACAGCAAAGACATTTGAAAGCATTCCCAAAAAAATGTAGGTCATGCTCACATTTTAACAGTTTCCCTAAAATTTATGGCCCCGACATCCCCCTCTCGATGCGCTGTTCCCTGTATTTTCCTCCTTGAGCCTTTTTTGAATGGCCCAAGAATTAGAGGCTCCCTCATGAGAGGCTATTCCAAAGAAAAACTTCTCCTCCCAAAAGAAAAAATAAAATCTCTCAGTGCCATTCACATTTTTCTTATGCACTATTTCATCCTTTTCAGTGCATTCCTCCATCGTCCCCCCAGACCGTCTCATCGCTCATGCATCATATTCTCTTAAGAATGGGAAGCCTTTCTTCCCCTTGGTGGCAGTTTTAGTCAGACCACCCAGTTTCCCACATTTGACCTACTTAGGATCATACAACTTATCACGTCTTCAGATAATAATATTCCTCTTCTCCGGGCTCTATTTTTAATACCGTTTTCCTCTGGGTGAGAAAAATAATAATAATAAAACAAAAGCAAAAACAAACAAACCACACCAAAAAAAAAGAAAAAGAAGCATCCAGAAAACACGACATGGTTCCATATTTCACATAATACTCATCTGGAAACACCACATAGTATTCACACTTCCATCCATTCCAACCAATGCTTTGATAAAAGCTCCTCAGCAGTGACCCACGCTTACACCCATAAGCACGGAGCAGCAGAGCTGTGCATGCATGTGCTTTCCTACTGCTGCTTTCCATGTCCCTTCAGTGGGAAGAATTCAGCTTCTCTTTCTTTTGGTTAGTATCTTATAAAGATTTGTTGCACCTGTAGCACCTTTTCTTCCTAAAGAAGGGTGGAGATGTTAAAGAAATGCATAGATGTGACACCTTAGGACGTGGTCTGAGGACATGGTGGAGTTGGGTTGGATTTGATGATCTTAGAGGTCTTCTCCAGCCTTATTGACTCTGTGATTCCATAAAATAACCTCAATGCATAAGCAGACAGCAAGCAGCACAAGGCCCAGGGGAAAGAATCACAGAATCACAGAACTGTAGGGGTTGGAAGGGACCTCCAGAGATCATAGAGTCCAACCCTAAGGCTATTGCAGGGAGCAGATCCCAGCCCCAGCCTCCCATTGACTTCCACATTCACCACAGACCTTCAACAGCAGCAAGACACTGCTAGGATGTATCATTAGAGAGGCAGAATCCCTTAAGGGTTTCTTGTAAGCTCAATCCAAACTGTGAGGCAACCAGGGAAGCAAGTTGGGGAGAGGAGAGGGAGGTACTTTTCTTATTTTATCCAGTTACTTTTAATCAGAACAGGTTTCCCTCAACTCTCATTGTCTTAATTTAAGCAAGTGGGAAGAGTCCAAAGCTTCACTTCCAAACTACACATTTATTCTAATCAGTGGTCCAGAAAAAAAACCTCAATAATGCCTCATATTTTTAAAATTACCAGGCAGAACTTTCCTTTTCAAATTAGCTTCATAGTTCACAGAGTTGGCAATGAGAGGCAGACAATTAAGATCGTAGATGAGCACCACATAAGGGAAAACAGAATATAATCACGAGAATGCAAAAAAACAACAGCTGAAAAAAACACAGAAAGTTTCATAACTCAGGAGCAGCAGAG